GGGACACCCCGGCCATCACGGCATCGTCACCATCTCTGAGTCGGGGAGGGGTCCCCACAGCCCCTCTCCCCACAGGACCTCTCTCCCCTCACACTTCCTCTCTCCTCACAGCCCCTCTCCCCTCATGGACTCTCTCCCCTCACAGCCCTGCAGGACATCACGAAGGCGCAGGGGCCATCTACCCCCAGACACTTCAGGGGAGGCCGGGACCATCCCCCATGCTCTCTGGGTTGCAATCTCACAAGCTGAGGGCTCAGGCCAGGACCCCCACATGAGCACCCCACATGGGCAGCAGGACCTTGTCCCCCCGCTCCCAGACACACGGGAGCCACCTGCCCCAGCATCAAAAATTTCTTAGGGATGAAGATAGTGAATAGATAATGAAGGCTGCTACACAATTAATGGCTGAAGACCTTCCAACCTTTCTGTGCTGGGCTTCTCGACTCACTGCCCCAGCTCTTCCTCAGGAGCCGGGCTGGGGGGCTGATCACAAAGGAGATGTCCAGAAGCTAGAAAAAAGCAGGGAAATTTGCTCCTGCGAGCATGGAGGACGTGTGTGTCACTTCTTGCTCCCCCGGAGCAGAGGCTGTATGGGATTTAACAGGAAAGCTGGGAGCAAGAGCCCCAGACGCCAGCCTAAAAAACCTCTGTTAGCAGCACAGTGTTCTCTGAATGAGGAGATTTTTGTTTCTTCCTGTTCCAAAAAGTTGTAATTTTCAATCTGACAGAAGAAATTCCTCTTAGTCTTTTCCACACCAACCTTTTCCAAGCTCTCCAGAGTGGCTTGCTCCCTTCTGCTGCATGAGCTACTGGGAGACAATCATTCTCATTTTCATGTCTCATTTTAACAAGGCACATCCCATGAGTGTCTTCAATAAACAAACATAATTTTGCCCAGAATTTTTTCCCAGTGGAAATTACAGGCCACGAGTGTCCTGTAGCTCTGCTTCTGCCACTGCAAATGCTTGCCTATAGCCCAGGGCTTGGTTTGTTTTTTGCACTGGCAATCCTCCCTTGAAGGACTCTGGCAAAGCAAGCACTGACTGCACTCTGCTGCACAAGCTGCCCCCAGGATGAGACAAAATCATCAGTAAATAATTAGCAATCAAAGGTCATAAAGGCTCAGACCTTCAAATACAGCTGCTCCTGTTGAAAGTTAACCACAGGGTATTTGGAGCCAATGGTCCAAGATAAGCAAGGGAGGAAGGTTGAGAGAAGCAGCATGGCATGGCCATACAGTGGGGACTGTGTGGTGGGAAGTTCTGACCAAACACCTGCATCCAGCCCTGGGATGGAGGATTCTGGCCGGGGTAAAGCGAGAGCAGTGAGGAAGGGGGTGTCTGGACAGGCTTGAGCAGGGCAGACAGGGGAAGCTGGGGCATGAGACAGAGCAGCATGGCTGGCTGAGCAGGAGGCGTTGAGGAAGAGCAGGCAATTCAGACCAACACACTCGGCAGAGTCCTGGAAATGAGCACCGGGAGTGAAAACAAGAGGAGAAAGGCAGTTTTCAGCTGGCGTTTAATAGAAATCTGGCTTTGAAATTAGTAATTTGCAGATGTAGAGAAGGCACATAAATTTGAAGACAACTCTCCAAGATCATCTCCATTTTCTGTGAATAATTATTGGGGAAAAAAAAGGAAGAAAAAGAATATGGCTTCTCAGAGCAGCCCATATATGCTAATCACACTGCACCCAATATGCTAATCACAACAGGGGAACACAGCCTGTTATCTTGAAACACAGCAGATGCTGTCACACCACCAAAGGCTGTTCCTGTTGCTCTGGCATATTGCAATGAGCCATGTGGAGAAGCAGAACTCCTGCGTGGACAGGACTGTCAGTGAGACCTTGCCATTGCCCAGTGGCCCAGGTCACTTGAAGAAGAAGCCATATTTCAGCGGATCCTCCTCTTCAACAGTGAAGGTGGCTGTACCGGTATAAAAGGCTTCTCCTGAGACTTCCACGACAACAGCATTGTAGTCCCCAAACTTTGCTTCCTGCAGAGGGATTAGGATCAGGACAGAAGCAACAGGAGGTTCTCCACTTTCCGAACCCCATGAAATGCCATTGCTACCTGGCACTTATGCAGAGACACTCCTCACCGAGCACTCTGCCCTGCCCAGGTACATCCCAAAGTGTGCAGCAGCCCTTTTACCGCCTGCAGAAGCTCCACCCCTGCACAACTACTGCTGCCCCTGCTCCGAGCTCTCAAGCCCCTGCACTGCCACGGTGTGGGTTTGCCTTAGAGGAAGCTGAGAAGCTGGTGGCCACTTGCACCCAAAGACTGAGAGCTCCCTGGGGCATTTCCAAACCTTCACAGCCACCTGCTGCCAGATGTCACGGGGCCAGGGCTGGGCCTGGAAGCCTGGATGCACAGACCCAGCTTCTCCATCTCTGAACAACACGCTCTGCCTTTGAGCAGGAAAGAGGGGACTAAACCAGGAACCCAGCCTCAGCTGCCACTGAGAACAGACCAGACTGATTTATCTACATCAGCATCAGATATATTTCTCACCCCAGTCCTTTCCTGGTGGCTGAGAGAGAATTTGCAGGGAAGACATGCAACAGAACAAGGACTTACTGTTACTTGCTTCTCTAATAAAAAATCTTGAAGTGTGAGGCTTGTGGGAAGGCAAAACCCCTGGGCACCTCCCTCCTTCCATATGCCCTTCCCCAGGCACAGAAAGGCTTTTCTGCTTCTCCACTGAGCCAAGGCAACAACACTTTTCCAGCCATCCTCAAGACAGAGGGAAAGTCCAGCACAAACCACTTGCCTTCACTGCCTTCCCAGTGAACAAGGACCCTGTGGTGCTGCTCCGAAAGGTTCTGGTCTGATTCAGCTGGATGAGTCCTTTGTGGTACTGCAAGGCGATGCGAGCTGTCACACCTGAACCTGTTGGACTTCTGTCGACCTACATTCAGAAGAGAAGATGAACTAGCTCCAGTATTTTGGGTTTTAAGAGCAAACAATATTGCCCCCCTCAGTTCTCTTTGCCACCTTTACACTGCGCGTGGGGGAAAACACCTCTAGCCCAGGGTTTTTTACAGAATCCGGAATATCACAAATGAGAAGACATAAAAAAGTAGGTTTGGGGTACTTCTGGATTGTGATCAGCTTTGGCAAACTTGGAGGGACAAGTGATCTAAATACTACTGAGGCTATTTAGGGAGCACTTGAAAGCTTCCCAGCATCATAACAAAAGGTCTGAGAGGGGCAGAAGCCACCTTCCCCATTCTCATGTGTCAAGGTAGGATCACTTCTCCTTATACTGAGAGAGCTGTTGGCCAGCCTGGTTTTTCAAATATCCAAAAACACAGCGCTGGCCAGCTTCCAAGGTGATCTGTCCCAATGGTCCCCACTCCTTACTGCTGGGATGTCCAACCAAACTTCCCCTGCTATCCATGTGATACCTTATCCACTGCAGACAAGGATAGAAGTTTACACCCCCTCTTTTCTCTCTTGCTCTATTCATCCCCAGCAACTGTTCCCTAGATAAGGGCTTTAAGGACACGCACTGTCTTTGGATCCTGCCTCTGCCCCTGAACTCCTGGGAAATTCCTACCTATGGGACATGGGTATGAACCCTTTTAAAATGCCACCATCTAAGATGTGCAGAAGTATTTGTCATTAGGAACTAAAGCAGCAAGTGTTAAATGACACTCATCTCTTCAGAGGCATCACTATAAGTAGAAGCAATGATCACTGCCCAAAGCGAGAAGAAAAAGAGCCATCCCTCGTCTGTGCAGTGGACATAAGAAGGGAAAAGGTGGTGCCTCGTGTATCTGAGAAGAGCCTGTTTCTGTACCTGTTCATCTGCAAACACACAGATGTTGGTGGTGGGCTCTGCACTAAAGGCATCTTTCCCATCTGTCAGTATGGTGCCGTAGAGGAAAGCCAGGTCTTCACTTTCAGGGTGATGAAGCTTGAACTGTGAACAAGACAGACAGGTTCACCAACATGCGCAGCAGTATGTGCAGTACAGCTTCCTCAAAGAGACCAGAGGAAGGGGAAAAGGCCACGCTGCTGCCTTTCCGCCTCTGCTTCTCCAGTAACAGAGGCAGACGCAGCAGCAGGAAAGTGAGCTCCTTCTCACATCCTTGTGAGGCTGGAGGAGGACTCTGAAATTCAACATGGGGCTGGAAGGATGGGACTCCCTCCCATCCCAAGTGTCTTGGGGGAACAAAGGGCCTCAGTCTGATGCAGTCACCCTGAAGGGAACACACCGGGGTACCACAGCGCTCCACCGTACCTGTTTCTTCACCGCTTCTGTCACTGCACTCGCCGCACTGACAAGGTCCCTGGTCTTCGAAGAACACACGTCAAGGCCCAGCTGCTCAGCGCTGAGGAAGGCGTAGAAAGTGCCACCATAGCCGATGTCGACCACCACCTTCCCATGACCAGGGACATCGATGGCCAAGTCTGGGCAGAGAAAGGGAGGGTGGTGAGGAGGGGAAACTCATGGGCTCACATGTGGAGTGAAAGGGGAGGGTCGGGGACAATGACTTGAGTGCTCCCATGCCAGAGCGCAGCACGTGACACCTTACGCCATCCCTGATGGCCTCTGAGGAACATCGGCATCGGGGAGGGATTTGCCAGATGCCCCGCAGCC